AAAACAGATGATTTTCCACTTTAGAAGCACGACGTCATCATCGCTACGCGGACCGACATGAACGTAGATCGACACGACATTCGCGAATACATCGGAGTGGATCCAGAAATAGAGACGATCGGCATCGTCAGCAACGTGCTTCCTCGAGAGAAGCTCGATCGTCTGCGTCGGGACACTCGTACCACCACGAGAAACGCGCTTCATCAAGAGAAGCTCGGCCGTCCACGTCGGGACACCCGGGTCACCATGAGAAACGTGCTTCATCGAGAGAAGCTCGACCGTCTGCGTCGGGACACTCGGGCCACCACGAGAAACGTGCTTCATCGAGAGAAGCTCGACCGTCCACATCGGGATGCTCAGGTCACCATGAGAAACGTTCTTCGCCAAGAGAAATACGACCGTCTACGTCGGGGCGCTCGGATCATTATGAGAAAAATGCTTCGTCAAGAGAAGTGCGACCGTCTATCTCTGCTTATTTGGACTCCCTGGAGAATGACACGAAAGAAGATGCGGAAATAATTTCCGTAAGAGGACCGTTAGCTCGTGGGTGGTGTCAGGTCGACGAAGAGGAACCTACTGCTTCATCATCAGATCCTGGATCCACTTCCAAAGCAGTCTGCGATGATGACCCAATGGCGAAGAATACCTCTGGAACTGTGAATCCCGATTCAGCAAGGCGTAGGTCTCATTTGAATGATGGAAATGGCGACAAACCGGACGGACCCAGCAGGTATAGCAAAACCTCGTCTCCTTCAAAGAGGAAAGATTCCCGCACAAGCTCACCATTATCCACAAAAGATGGCTCTTCTACATTTGGATCGCCCAGGAGAAGAGATCATGAATCAAATCGCGATTCGGAACAAAGTACCAAACGGAGGAGCAAATCACCACAACGGAAGTCGTCGAACAATCAACAGCAGAGGAATGGGACCGGTTGGTATAAATTGTCCATGTTACACGCCGTTGCAATTTCTTCTGAATATGTCTTTTCTCGGCTTTTCATTGAAGGAGCGCTCGCTAACAGTTCGTGCGCGAAATTAGATTCATTTAGCCATGGGCGTCAAAGAGAAGATTCCATCGTTGTTGGACATGTGCGTTAATGGACTGGACACGAAACGGCCATCAACTCCAATCTCACTGTTCGACACCATTCGCGACAGCTCGCAGTTCGCCAATGATAGCTTGCAAGGAGAACGATGTACTGTGAACGGCAAAGAAAGCGACAGAAATGGGACGAAAAGTCGCTCATTGCTCGATATGGACATTCCCCCTCCAGATCGTAATGTGATGCGTCGATATGCGATTGTTCTGAATAGTTACGAGCTGACTAAACGACGTATTAACGTCCGATCAGGGAGTGAGTCCACATTGTATTACTAACAACGTGGTTTATGTGTTTTTTCGACTTTTAATATTTTCATTTTATATTCTTGTATTGTCGATAATGTGGCCATTGGAGTGCTCTTTCACACTTTGGCAAGAGCTATTTCAAGGTGCGATTGTTGTGATGGTTGTGAGAATGCTCTAAAACTAGCTCTCTCTTCAAAGGCATATTCAGTGTTAAGCGAATAGGCGGGGATCCATAAGCGTCCAGATATGCTCTTCATTAGGGCGCGTTCATACTTCTGCCGCGATCAATGTCCGCCAGCGACTACGAAGCGTCCACTAGACGTTTTTCGAACGTCGTCAGCGCCCTTAAGGGACTAGTGGAAATGTACGGTATCGATCCGCGACGCTAGCATCCACTCCAGCGTACAGCACGTTTTCGTTGACGCTTTTGCAACTCTAAGCAGTGTTTGTCCGCTCAAGGCGCTGCGTGGACGCTGGCAGGGCGCGTGGCGTTCTCTTGCTCCTTCCTAGTCCCCGGCGCCGCTGGTGCCGGACCTGGCTCAAAGTATGGACGCTCAGCTTTAGTGCTTGTTTTTTCGCCTAGACAGTGCCCCGGTGAAGAGGTTTGAATGCTCATAGATCCCGATGACGAGGTGGGAAGAATTCAGCGCAGTCGCTTGTCGCAGGCCCCAGCGCAGCTTCACCTGTCGCGTTACGAAACAGGCCCTTACAGATTCATCTGGGTGACGGGCATGGGAAGGATTTCCTCCCTTGTAAGGGTAGCCTGGTCTGGTATCGCAGGGAATGTTCTGGATTCTTGACTCGGGTGACTAGGCCGCCGTAACTAGCCGCAAGAGCGCCGTCCATAGAAGTTGCAGCACGGTACTATCCATAAGTAGTCCAGCCCGTCGTCTTGTTATCTCACATTCACAGTCTTGTAGCCTTTTTCACTGCGAATGAAGGGGCTGTCAGGCGGGATAGGTCTGCCAAACCTGTTGGTCATTAGCTATTGAAGGGAGCAAGCGACAAGACTGTGTCATATCGTATCACTCGTTTTCCACCAACTCTACCCTTCAGCAGCCTCACCTTCCGCTTTAAGCTGATGGAGTGCGGCTTTGACGCTGCGCTTGCGTTTCGCTTTGACGCTGCGCCAAACGCATCCCGCCAGACACGCTCTTTGTCCGCCGCGAACCACAGCGTAGTTCTGCTTTCTTATTAGTGGAAACAATTGCTCCTTCGAATATTTGCTGAGAGCGAGGCTTTTGTGTGGGCGTTTTTAGAAGTGTTTTCCGCTTTCCTCTTCATTGTTAGGCTGAATACCATCTAAAAATTCATATTTTTATCCAGGTACCCACGATGTTCAATAGCATTTTGTGGGGTTCGAGCAAGCTGAATGATTTTCGATATGAACCCAATCATACCATTATGTAGCGATTCCAAACATTTTTGTATGTCACCCAATCTTGTGAACCCCATCACAGTAGCGCGACCGAAATTGTTGCCCCCCCCCGCGCTCCAGCTTTTTTTTACCGATAAACGTCGTTTCCTTATGTCATATTATCGACATTATACAAGCGATTTATTGCTAGACTATTTGTTCACAGTGAAAATCACTTTGTCCTTTGAAAATTCTTTTCATTTTTGGAATCCATTGAGTAAAGCCGTCGTTTCCTAGGTCACAAGCAAGACCTGCCGTCAAGAAGTCCGCTGAAGTCACCTCCAAGACGAAATGATCGTTATGATCGTCGACCGCGTTCGTATATTCATGGAATTCGCAACTAAGTTTCTTGTTGTGTTTACGTTAGAAGAATGCAGTTGCTT